CAGGATGACCTGCAGTTCGACTGATTCAGCGCGTTCGTGGTTAACCACGTGACTCGTCCTCGGCTCTGGTCGGAAGAAGTCGGAAGTGTTCGCGAGCGCTCGGAAATTTCAAAAATGGCCGACACCACTGCCGGTGGCGGGAGGCACGTAGTTTTTCACGGCGTTCGTACGGCAAAGCGGCATCGAATTTTTGCTCCATGACTATCGGTATGGGATAGGATAGGGTTGATTCAACATACTGCGTGAAAATGTGACAAAAAGACAGACTTTTGAAATTTAATGCTCCCAGCCTACTATCGGCCAGATATCGCTTAGGGCACCTTTAAGTCTTGTGGTTGCCTATGTTCAAAACAATGTTCTTTGAAAGTTGGAATGCTTACTACAAGAATCTTTTTAACCCTACAGCCATACAACAATGCCAGTGCCACACACCTTCCACAGCATGTCTTCCTGGACACAGAAGCCTCCTTCATAGTCTATGTCAGAATGAGGCTGCACCCTGTTCACCCAAAAGGTTAGAGTCTGTATTTTCAATGTAACAATTATTATGTTAAACTTCACTTAAACTGGATCCAGTGGTATTAGTCTTTAATACATTTCCCTCCTTGTTACAGACACTGAGACGTACGGGCATACACCCTTGGATCATCTCCAACTGTCAGTCTGGGTGTCTGAGCCCACACTACTGGATGTCACCTCCAACAAGACACTTTTTCACCATAACTCTTCCGTGCTTTATCAGGTGAGAAGGGATTTTAAAACACTGTTTGTCAAACCAATACAAAATATATACGCAATATCCTGGTACATGATGGTAGAGAATTTTTGCTACAGTCTATAACAAAAGTTGCTCAGTTGACGGCCCTGACTTCCTTAGTGAATCTCTGTGGTGTAGGTCCAAGATGCTGTACATGTAGGTCCATGGTTACTTACAATTTACGTACTAGATTTGGTTATCACATTAAGCAATATTGGACACTGTCTTCATGTTTTAGTAACTTGAACTGGTTTGTCCTTTCAGATTACTGTAGCAGACAGAGGTGTGTACAAACAGCAGCATCCTCCCGGAGAGAAGTTACAGGCTGTGTCTCTCCAAATGCAGGTTTTGTTCAATTTAAAGATTACTCCGTACTATAATACTAACTGTAGTAGTTTGGGTTATTTGATGATATGTCCATTGGAGGAAGGTATTTTTTGTTTTAACTTTGCAAATTCACTTTTGCATTATTGTTTACCATAGCTTGTCAAGTGTTGGTTCTTACACTGACTTCCTAAAGTATTCATACAAGTGGTACCTCTGTTTACAGCCCTGGAATGCACCTCTGAACTGTTTTTACCAGGAGAAGGCACAGGTAATGTACTGGAGAGGCAACATTATTTCAACAGAGTTAGCAATAAACTGTTCAAAATGTATTTTAAGTGTTACACATAAGGCCACACAAGTAAATTTTATGGATGACGTCCTTTGGAAGAACCCCTAAAATCTAATGCGAGAGGGACGAAAAAAAACAAGAAGGGACCCTAAAAAACAAGATGCCTAGATTAGAAATATACTAAGAGACGACAAATGTTAGGACACAAATTGAATGAGGTGACACAGTGTAACAAGCAAAAAGTCTTATTCATCATCAAAACAGCAATAAATCAGGTGGAACAGCAGTTATCGTCCTGTCCTGTTTCTTTCATCACATTTTGCAGGCCTGCAGAAACAAAGCATGTGCTCTTTACCCATTTCGCATTACAGGGTTCAG